TCGTTTACAGATTCGATATTCGATACAACGTCGCATAATGGGCGATAATCGTGCATTTGGGAAACAGTTACCCATTTTAGTAACAATTTATTACTGAAATTGGGAATAAAGTGAAATAAAAACACACCGATTACTTTCAAACACAGGAGCAAACCTCCATTGCTTATAGTGTGTTGTAGAGTAGCTATAATCATATTTACCTGTTACATACATGTATGCACTGGATGGTCCCATTGCCTCCACACTGAAGTCAATGGAGAACAAAGTCAGTGATACAATTTGTCAGAGCTTATGTTTCTGTTTTCATCTAAACGACTTTAAATATAATTTCTTCTTCTTCTTCAAGGTACAGTAGCCCATACCACTTAAGTGTATTATCGGACTTTGCGTGATGTGAACAATTCAACTATTCACAGGTGCATTTAAAATCCATTATATTAATATACAGTTAAAAACTAAAAGCACAATGGTGCACTATCGTAGGTGGGTGGTGGTCAGCCTCCTCGTAAAGATATCAAGTGAGGGGCTGTCTACGACTGCTGATGGTAAAGTGTTCCACAGTCTGATGGTGACTGGAAAAAATAAATGGTATGAGGAATTGATGGTTGTGTCCTCTGTTGTTGGTACCTGCTGGTATATGAGTTGGGCTGATGGTATAGCCACTAATCCATTCACAATGCGATACCATCATGGCGACCTTGCTGACTGATCTTCTCTCTTGGAGGCTGCGCTGGGCCACTGTAGCTGTTGTAACATGCTACTCATGCTACTGGTCTGTCAATAATTTCCAGTGACGAATCGGGCCGCTCTCCTCTGCACCATCTCCATGTTGTGTACATTGTAAGTAATATGTGGATCCCAAATGGTGCTGACGTATTCCATCTGTGGTCTTTCTAATACCTTGTAACAAAGGTCTTTGGTTGTGTATGGGCACTTGGCTATATTTCTTTGAAGAAAAGCTCTGGTGTTGTTAGCTTTCTTCACTTCATTATTGATGTGGGTATTCCAGCTGAGTTTCTGATGTATGGTTACTTAAGCATTGAACTGCTTTTGTATGGTATTTATGATCTATTTGAATGACACAGCTTTGCAAGCAAACAACATAATGCTGGTTTCAGATCTTCCTATAGAGCACACAATCATCTGCAAACAATCGAATGGTGGAGTTGTTTTTTACATAGCTAGGCAGGTCGTTGATGTATAACAGGAATAGTGTTGGCCCGAGCACGCTGCCCTGGGGGACCCCAGATTCTAAGGGGGCGATGTTAGATTTTCCTCCATCTAGCGCCACTTGCTGTTCTCGGGCATGTAGGAAATCACTGATCCAGCTGTGTAAATTGCCTCGTATGCCGTAATGATGTATCTTGTGTAGTAGCCTCTTGTGTGGCACTTTTATAAAAGGCTTTGGAAAAGTCGAGCAAGCAGATGACATCTGGTTGCCCTCTTTCATCTACTGTTTTGGCCAGGTCTTGTATCATAGAAACCAACTGGGAATCTGGGATTCACATGATCGATGTTTTCAAAATCCATGTTGAGCATCGTTGTAGTTGTAGTTCTCCATGTGCTGCATGATGTTGCTGGTTATGATATGTTCAAGCAATTTACACGTTATTGATGTGAGTGACACTGGTCTGTAATCTTGTATCTATATACTGTGTGGGTCATACTACTATCAAAACACAGAAATGTAATTTACTAATTATTTAAATGGAAAACTAGCTTTTACACAATTATTTGAATGTCAACAAAATGTTTTGCATATGGTAAACCTACATTTCCTCGTATATAGTTGATATAGTTGTCGACACTAACGGAAAGCTTCAGGTAGCTTCTTGCGGTGCATTTTAATGTTCCTATACTAATACAAGACTTCCGGTGCATATTGATATAGAGGAATTAAAATCCAGAAATCTTAAAGTTAAAAGGTTAGTTAAGACATTAAATGATCTGACTGGATCTTGCTAATAGCAGGAGGCATTGAATTTACAGGGGTGATCAGACCAGAACTTGTTGATTCTGTTTTTAAAACTATTTTATGCTCGGGGCATTTGCCACATGGTTTGACAGACTATTCCAGGACTCCACAACCCTGTTGCAGTAGCTGTTACTGCTTAATTGTCTATTGGTCCTCTTTATAAACAGCTTTATGTTGTTCCCTCTTGTTCTGGAACCCTGGGTTTTAGTGAACATTTTGCTGTGATCTACAATGTCTATTCCCTCTAGGATCTTGCATGTTTGGATCAGGTCAGCTCGGTGTCTTCTGTACTCTAACGTAGGTATCCTAGATGGCGCAGTCTCTCTGAGTAGGGTTTGTTTGCTAGACTGGGAATAAGACGAGTTGCCCTCCTTTGTACATTTTCCAGTAGTTTGATGTCTTTTAGCAAATATGGTGACCAGAAAACACTTGCATATTCAAGGTGTGGGCAAACGAGAGATTTGTACAGTGATAATAACATATTTTTGCCTATAAATGTAAAAGATCTAAAGATGAGTCCTAGGTTCCTGTTGGCTTTGCTATGTATTATACTATTTTGTTTTAGCTAACTAAATAGCTATATATATAGCTATAAGACATTTGTAATACTGCATTATATGAACAGCATTAATGTATTTCCTATGTAAAGGTTGTGTAATGGACATATTGTTAAAGTTGCCTGACATACATGCATCTGCTAGGTTTAACATCAGTTCAGTGAGGTAGTCACATTGTAAGGCAACTCCTATTTGATCCTGTTGTCATGAATCTCTTAGGTGTTTATAATAAAAAAAATGAGGATGAAGTTTGTGTTACTTTGCAGAAGTAAAATATTTTCATCTGTATGTAAGTTGGTGTCTGATATGCTGGCTTATTTGCTATTTATATAGCTGCTATGCCCATATAGGGATGCCACTTTATTTCATTATCTTCATATCTTTATATTTTGTCACCAGCATTTAATGACACACAAGTCAAGTTAAACTCATGCAAACTAATGAAAGATGTAAAACTAGAATTCTCAATGTAGTGAGAGCATATCTGTAAACAAGTGTGGTGTATAAATAACTTCCCTTGTATTTGTATTACAGGAACAGATAATCTACATGTGTATAACTGAAAATGGCATCAATTGCATGTGATTTGTTCAATATCAAATCAAAAAGTAAAGATCCAATACGAAAGAAACTGTTTGGTTCACCTGTGGTGGATGGAGAAAGAACCTCAGGTATATGTCTTTGTATAACGCTTATAGTGTGAACATTTTTACACAAAAAATCTTCTGAATTATTTGTCTGGCATGTCCCACATTGTCAAACAGTGTATGAGATTTAGTACATGCACATACCTTTGGCTTTGTATACTTCTATAATAGAAGTTTAACAATATTTCAACATGCAGTGGTAACTGATCTCAAAGAAGTTTGTTATTAGAGATAAAAATATGTTTACTGTTCATTTACAATACTATTTTTATACTGACTAACCTATATAGAAACACACCTGTGTTTTGTGAAATTCTTGTTGTAAGGCTCGCTTGCACTTTATAAAACCTAATAAAACCAGTTTCATCAACAGTTAAGTGGAACTTTGGCCACATGTTGTTTTTAAGTGATACCATCCACACTAGCTTGTGAAAGCTAGAGTAGGATTTGAGTGCTCTACATATAAAGCTTTAACTTTTAAAATCAACATTTACTTCTGAGATATGTCGGTGCTGAAAGTTTATTCAAGGAGATGAACAAAAAAAGAGAATATTTTTAAGTTCAAACTTGAATTAATTTTATCCAAAATTTGCATTTCAGAATTACAATTTTAAATTTGAAAGATGCATACTAATCTATGATGACAGTTTAGTTAATATAGAGTTTTTGTGATACAACACACAGCGCACAACTTAACAATGTCTGATGGGGATGCTAAACTGTCTGTGGACCAGAAAATTAGACCACATTCAGTATGATATTTAGATTGGAATAAACCTTGTTGTCTAGCACTTCTACTTTTTAAGAAACAGAACTTAACACTAAAATTTAATATTGCTGCCACTGCAATAATATGGGTTGTAATTAAACATCAATATTTTTCTTTTTCAGAATTCCACTATACTTTGACTTTTATGAATAAACTCCAGATTGAACATGACACAGAACTAAGCTATAAAGCATTGCAGAAAGGTAAGACAGAATGATACCTAAAAAAGGCTTATTAGGTGAAAAGTTGACAACTGAAGAGTTACAAGGGCCTGTATAATATATCATTTACAAAGTCAGTCTTATAGAGTACGTAACTAGAAACTAAAATGTCCTAGTATTCTGTATAACATATATAACTGAGAGAACACAGGGGGCTGTAAAACATGGCAACTAAAAACCCCAGGGAGGACTGTATCAACTATAACATCATAGGTTTCTGTGTTAGCCTAATCACTGTGAGAACACAGCTACAGAATCACAGGATTATAGAGAAAATATCACTACTTACACATGAACTGACAAGTAAAAAACAATAATACTGTACTCTATACAGACATAATTGTTAAATCTGGAATTTATACAGAAATTCAGCAACAAAGTTGAAGTATT